TTTTACATAGAATGTATGAGCTCATTAGCGCTTTTGCCACCAAGAAATTTTGCAGTTTTTGATGAACTATTTCTCCTTGAATATTACACCCAAAGAGCTAAAACTTTCACCATGTAGTAACGTTTTCTTGCTCTTTAGCTGACTGAAATCAATTTGTATCTAACATGCTTCCTTCTTTACGCAAAGCCGTATGCAAATGAGCAAAAATGTAAACAATGACGTCAGCATGAATCCGCCTATTGACCACCTTCCTGGCTAAAGTATCGAAGTTCAGAAATTTATTTGACCCTGAGAGGGTTCTGTTCATAACCAACTTAAGCTGCCTCAGCAAAAGACGTGAAAGCTGAGGTTGACAATTTACGGCCAACCCGGAACTTTCAAATACACTCGCACACGATGCAAAACTTGTCCTATCATTTACAACATTGAGAAAATATCGGGACCCAAACGGCCCCTCCTCCAATGTCATTTATTGCATGACTTGCACTTATTGCAAAAATGTATACATTGGCGAAACAGGAAGACGACTGAGTGACCGATTCCGAGAACACCCTCGCGACGTAGAAAGGAATGGCAAGGACGTATCAAATTAGTTGCTAGACAATTTAATCTACGTAATCATTCTAAATAGCATATAGAAGTCTACGGCCTTCCCTCACATTTAGATAGTTCTGGAAGCCACAAAAACTCTTGAACAAAGGTTCATCATTCAAATTGGCAATCTTAATCCCAAAGGTATCAACGAAGAACGCTTTTCATTGTGCTAATTTATTAAACACACACAACCCACACTTCCTCCATTCACTCAGACGAAGGTCTAACCTTTACGGTGGCCAATGTTACATCTTCAATTCAGTTGATAAACCCAAAATACAATGTACGACATACCTTCGTGTAATAAGACGGAACATTAATTTTATACTTGTTAAGGAAATCTTTGAAGTCCGAGGAGTTTTCAGCTGCTTCAATTGCAAGTTGTATTCCAAGTTCAATAGAGTTAACTGAGCGGTGTCTAAAAAGTAGTGATGCGATAAACAGCTCTGTCTTATTGGCGTTGCAATTCAATGACACCACAGCCAGTAGCATAACCAAGGTGAAAAAGGCCGTTTTACTCTTCATCTTGGGCTAGAATGAAGAAAAACAAATTAAAAAAAAAATAGGAAAAGAAATGAGGCTAACAAGTCCCTGTAAAGATCGTTTGCACTATCTTCATTATGAGCTCGAGTTTTCTTAAGTGTGATACTTGAAGGCAGGGGGCAAAGCCCGAATCAGCTATCCACGATAGAAATTGAGTGCAAAAATACCTACCAACAAGCATGTTAATTTTTTGTTTTCTTGTATGAAACAAAGGAATGAAAAGCAAGTCGTTGGCGCCGTGGAGATAAAAGAAGGGACAACAGTTCACGTATCGACTGGCCGGTTCAAGGGTCGAGTGGCCATTTATGAAGGTATGATTTTGAAAGTTTGTGGTGAGTTCAAATTGCGATATTCGGTACGTGATCAAAACTGATAATCCATTTGGTCACTTGCATGCCACAATTTCTAAGTTTACGCTTCACAATGAAATAAATCTATCAATAAGCTGAAGGTTTCAGGATTATTTTAGTCACGCTTGACAAGCTTCGAGCCCAGCAAAAACAAAAAAAAACAAAAAACAGCTGCTTAGTCTGCAGTTAAGGATAACTTCATTACAATTTATTGTTACAGTTACAGCAAGATTTTAATTAAAAAAATCAATTATTCAACTGTAATTAAGCCCTTCTCTACCAAGAGTGTTAAGTCAAAATTGAGTAGAAATCTTTGAATTTCAATTTGCAGAATCAACAAAAACAATCAGTATAACATGAGAATGCTGCTTGACAGGTTACATTTGAATTTTAGCACACAAGAGTTTTATTGTATTGCCAGCATACAACTATATATACACTGTAGTATAGTCTTTGGTGCAAGTAAAGTGGAGACTTTCATTTCAAATTAATGGGGTTTCCAAGGAATTTTCATGGTCCTTGCATAAATTTATTCCCAAGAACCCCATGAAAACTAACTGGCTCTTAACTTTCATGTACCATGAAAATACCATGGAGAGGCCATAAAAATTCAGGGAAAATTTTTATGGTCAATGAATTTTTTTACATATTCACAGGATACTCATGGGTCATGATTTGCTGCAACCATTAAAACCTAGTGGAATTTAACGCCATGGATTTTTTGACAAGATTATATTATCTTAAACATCATCAATCTTCTATGTTATCTACCAGGGTGAGATCAATGTACACAGTTTTGTATAATAATAAGTTATAAGAGCCACTGACCATAGGACGCGCCGCCTATGGTGGGCCAAGAAAGAAACTAAGAGGAGTTAAACTACAAGGATAAAGCTTAAAGAGAATATATATTTTGATTTGTAAATATATCATACAAGACCTTTTTAAAGACCTTTAAATGGGTCGTGATGGCTGTTCAGCGGTTCGCATTGCA